AGCCACCACCAGGTCTGAAGCCAGCCTGATTTTCACGTGTTTGCAATTCACGAGTCTTAGTTAGGCGACCGATAATTATTAAGGCTAATATTTTAGATGCTATGTTAGTCAAACTAATCCCTCTATGGTTGTCACAGGATGATTTTGACCCTCTCTTATATATAGGGACAATAAGTGCTTGCGACCAGTCAGATAGGATTACGTCCAGCTCCCAGAGTTTAGCTAAAATATTAGTCAATCTAATCGCTAAAATTGGACCATCATCCTTAAAGACGTTTGTGGTCACTCCATCTGGACCAACTACTCTTCATCGTTTCAGATTAGCTATGGCTTTCTAAACTTTAGCTAGCGTCGGGAGACCTACTTCAGTATTCCAATCAGGTTGTCTGAGAATGGTGGGTAGTTGTAGAGTGGTTGAAGGCCAGATGAACTACTACTTAAAATGTTTCACCCGTCGTTATAAACGTCTGGACTGGGAGTAGATAAGTGTCGTAATTTTCCAAAATAGCCTCACTTACACTTGACTTATTACTTCCGGTTTCTTTTATTAGTCTGAAAAGCTGTCTGGTGTTACTTACAGCCACTACCGTTTCAATCTCTCTTGATTTCATTTCCAACCACTGCTCACGGTCGTTACTTGGACTTTCGGTTAACCAAGATCTGATTTGTTTTCAGTGACTAATCGTTTGGTACTATTTAACAACATGTTTAAAGTTCATAGAGAACGCATTCAGGCTGGAGATAGAACAATATATTTAATGTAAGTAGAAAGAAGTTATACAGAATCACTCCTCTTGCAATGCTGAGCCATGTCATCCGATTGGTTTGATGTTTCCGCTTTTTACAGTTGACTTCTTCTTCTTCATGCCAATTGCTGTCGACTGTGAACTAGTCAACCCGAGTTGCTACAAGATCTCCGTTGATCCACTTAAATACAGATCCCACTGCTTCGTTTGCTTCATCGATTTGCTGTCAGGTTGATTATTTCCGAGTTATTTTTCACTTGCTGGAAGAACTCTTCGCTTTTGGTAACGGCCTAGATCCAAACTATCCTACAGGTGTTATTTTTGTCTCTGAAGTATACAGGTCGTGACAATAGGTTCTCCCACGATCTGGTGTTAGTGTCATTCACAGTAGTTGTTTTATTCGTTTAGAGTCACCGGTCAGGGGAGCAAGTATTACTTACTTGCGCCTGTTACTCCCAATGAAGCATAGGCCGCAGACCAGCATTCCCCAACCCACTCTGTTCTGGGCCTTCTTTTCTAATTCTAGCCAACTCTTGTTTATTTTCCCCATGTCTATCTCCATTTCCCGGCGTAATGTGTTCTTTGGTCTTCCTCTTTTCCTTTGGCCTTGAGGATGACATGTGAGGGGTTGTCTTGTGACGCAGTTGGGTGCTCTCCTCAACATGTGTCCTATCCACTTCCAGCGCTTCTTCCTGATTTCGTCCTCCGCTGGGATCTGGTTTGTTCTCTCTTATAGTAAGTTGTTACTGATAGTGTCCGGCCAACGGATCCGAATTATTCTGCGTAGACAACTGTTAATAGACACCTGTATGTTCTGGATGATGGCTTTCGTAGTTCTCCAGGTTTCCGCCTCATACAGTAGAACTGTCTTGACATTTGTATTGAAAATTCTGACCATGATGTTGGTTGACAGACAGTTGTTTTGAGCTCCAGATGTTCTCCAGCTGCAAATATGCTGATCTTGCTTTGCCGATTCGCGCCTTCACATCTGCATCAGATCCATCGTGTTCATCAATGGTGCTGCCCAGTTATGTGAAGGTTTTTACATCTTCCAAATCTCCGTCAATTGTGACTGGATTGGTGCATACTGTGTTGTATCGGAGAATCCTGCTTTTCCCTTTGTGTATATTGAGACCTATAGCTGCTGAGGCTGATGCTACACTGATTCTCTTCTCCTGCATTTGCTGTTGCCTGTGCAATAGAAGGGCCAGATCATCTGCGAAGTCTAGATCATTCAGCTTCATCCTAGCTGTTCACTGTATCCCGTACTTCCCTTCAGACGTTGACGTCTTCATAACCCAGGAGATCACCAAGAAAAAGAGAAAGGGTGGAAGTAAGCAACTTTGCCTGACACCGGCCTTTATTTCGAACGAGTCTGTGAACTGTCCTGCACGCACGATTTTGCAGTTTAGTCGACTATAGGAATTCCGTATGAAGTTGACTATCACTTCAGGCGCACCATAGTGTCGAAGAAGCGTCCATAATGTTGTCTTGTCAACGCTATTAAATTCTTTCTCGTAGTCAATGATGTGTAGAGTGGTGTAAAATGATGAATTCCACCCAATTGATTGTTCCACAATGACATGGACGTTCATTCCAACCGTATATTGTGAAGGTGTTATTTTCGCTTCCTATTTAACATATAGCACTAATGTTTTGGCTTTAAATTAGATTATCATTCCTTATTTTAGTTTTATACCCCCTCCAAAGTAGGCGATTACATCTTCGGGTTTGAATATTTGTAATTGGTATCAGTCAAACTGATCTATCCATACTAGTTAGGATGCTTTAAGCTGGGGCAGTAACTTTATATCCCTCATATGTAATGAAAGAAATATGCCGAAAATCCTCCCAGAGTGTTTTTTTGAGAGTGCTGTTATTCCTTAGCTTCTTACATTATATATTTCGATGTGCTCCTAGGGCTCGTATAACCAAGCTGTTATATTTTCTAGTGTTTTATGACGTGGCTTTTATCATTTGACTTCGATCAAGATTGGCCTACTATCGAGTTTTCTTGTTGAATGGTGCTACTTTGTTGTTGGTTGGTGGCGGCGTTGAACAGTTAGTAAATGCTGATCGTTGACTATCTTCTGAAATCAGTCATGTCAATATTTGTTGGTGGATATAGGAAATGCATTAACTAACTTTCAGAACGCTACTTCTGTGCAAGAAAATTTTCTGATTACATAATGCTCTTGCACCGTTTGATAATCAGTTAAAAAAGGCACACAGTTTGTCTGTGGTATATTTTAATGCAGGTGACTCAAAAAGGCTTTCCACGCCACATAAGATGACGTAGTTCTACTTGGTCGAATCCACCTTAGCTTTTTGGATTGTCCAATGAGTTTGGGTCTAATATTGATATTTCGTTGCTATACACACTTTTAACAAAGTTTTGGCTGCTCGTCGCTAGTGATAGAGTTGCTCTACATTTAACCGATAAAATTACGTTTCTAGTCAGCCATGAACACGATGGTTCGTTATAATTACCCTTTGAATTATGATCTACTTCGTTATTAGTACTGCTGTAATAATAGACCTAATCCTAATATTATAGATTTTTCATGTTATGACTGTTTAATCCACAGGTCTTAAGTGGGAGTCACATCATTGTGTACCTGTTGAATTCGCGAGGTAGTGCCTTGACTACTGCGAGGAATTGTGCACGTGTGTCGTTCACGCCATGCTAGTAGAAGTTGGCTTCAGAGTAGCAGAAGCAGGCTTCGATGTTGTCTGGTCAGAAGGGCATCAGTTGGAACGAAGGTGGGGACATTGTCTTTAACTTAAGTACATTGGTTGTCTGTTCAGTCATGATGAAATACCAAGTACGAGAATGAACGAGTGAAAAGAATCCAGAAACACGAAAAAATACCACAATATATAAAAATTAAAATAAAGCAATGATTTATGAAATTCCAAAAAGGAACAGACAGTTTGCAATTTGGCGTGCCAGATCACGTTGGGCTCACCAATGAAGATGCCACAGGCATTTGAAGTTTGACAACGCTTTAACCAGTAACACCTAATATGAATCGTACCCACCAAGTGAAATCAAAAGACAGAAGCGAATGGGTTCGAAGATATATTTGATAGGCTATCAATATATCGAGGATCGCCCGATCTAATCTAGCCAGCGATTGTATGGGATGTTGAGCACGGCGTCCCCACTCGTGATCTGGTGCGGATGTATGACCGAGCGCCTTCAGCTAGGTGAGTCCATTAAAACTAATGTGGTCAGCGTCCAATGTCGAGAACTTACAGAGCTATTTATTTTGGGGATTTATTTACCACCACATCACGTTTTCCCTTGACTACGATCATTTATGTAGGAAACATTCGACAAGTTTATTTAAAGTCAGGCGTCCATACATACATCTGATGCATTTTATTGTATCAAAAGGTAAATAATCGACCATCTGCAAATGGCATCTTTTTTTCTTTAACATTATATTGTCAGTTTCCTACTGAGTATTAAAGAACAATGAGATCTTCTAAAAAAAGGTTCAATACTTTGAGGAAAAATATCTTCGGTAATGGTAATTAACATCACACACTGATCGTGACACATAAGCCAACTCTTAGTCATTTGTTTCAATCTTTGTGGATGCTAAAGAGCGCGTGAAAAAAGGGTAAGGACTTCAGCTGCCGGAGTTGGTCCTATTTTACTGACGAGATATAAGCAATGAACCCTTAGTTTTTCATTTATAGGGGGTTGTTACAAATTTTATATATACACTACGTCTGGAGTAGTTTAAATAATGGTTTTTTCCACAGGACGTAATACCGATATCAGGTTTCATTATATTCCAAGAGGGTTCCGATGTTCCTTAGACGATAAAAGTTAGGAAATTCTCATATTAGTACACACTGGTCAATGTGACTTTTTTGTACGCGAGACCTCCACTGCTTCATATATCTTCTGCTCATATATCCAATCTCCCAATTTTGTAGAAATAGCACAAAAAACTCCGAGATTTCACCTGGTCTGAAAAAATTTCACCAAAAATGACTTGAGATCTTTTGGCTTTCCCAAATGTCTCCCTTCGGTTTCTCCAAACTATGTAAAAGTACGGATTTTTATACGTATTTTGGGAAAACCTCGAATTCCTAAAATTCAGGACACTGATTATCTGTGAAGTGTGTACAGCACAGTATTACTTGGCACAATTATGCGCTATACCAAGTTTTCATATTTCAGTCAAAATCACAAGGGTGTCGATGTTAGTATGCAACTAAACGTAGAGTGCAATCTACCGTTTCTGGGAGGAACTTTTTGTCGGTTTTTGAGAAAATCGACGTAACCTAATTTTATTAGGGAAATTTGGGGTTTTCCCCAATATTTCCTAAAAACTTACTCAGACCTTGTGGGATCTCTTACCATTCCTTCTTGTGCTTGCGACTGTTATCACTATAGTTCTCTTCTGTTGGTTAGTTCGCACTGATTTTGCAGGATGAAAACTAGCAAAATGGTCTTCATACTCACTAGAATCAATGTTGTTGTATGGTAATAACAGCCACCTTCTGAATGGGTTTTGTAGTGTCTCGAATCGCATCCACTCACTTATCGCCTTCAAAGGTAAAGAACAGCCATCGAATAGATAGTTAACACTGAAAGTCACATAAAGAGTGCAAACGTATTATTCCATAACTTTCTCATCGACCTCTATAGCCCTTGATGTCGGGGTTGGCTTACTGGGAAACTCGATTGGTAACGTGGGATACGCAAAAGACATAGTTATGTAGTGTGGCAACCTAAATCAGTGCACGCATGTACCAGGTTCCGCGTTGCGCATAATTGACTTTCACAGAACAAGCTGACACGTTTATTCCATGTCCCATAAATGTGGGCAAGCATCATGTGGAAAAAGTATTACTCTTACTCTGATCTACTCCCCTGTTACTTTCATCAGGGCAACTCAGTAGTAAGTCTGTCTTCTAACACCTTTTGCTATGTAAAGGCAACTCGATTGTGTAAGGCATTTATTTAAACGCTAACTCCCACTTTCTGAATCTGACAGAAACTAGAACGAACGACGACTTCCTAATTAAAACACCTCATTTGGTCATGTAATTTAATTTACAAATAACTAATTAAATCAACACGGCCCGGGCTTAATTTATTCAGTTGCAGTATATATATTCAAAACACCTGCGGTATAATCCTATCCGAATAGGTAGATATTAATTAACTGTCACGACTGATGTAATTCGGAATATCTCACAGCTGCATCTAGATGTTGATTCCTGTTAAAGACTATTTTACGAAGTTATCATTGGTATTGTCCATAATACCTAAATCAATTTCTACTTCCATGAAACTCTAATCAGAACGGCTACACTTCCATATGAGGTAGGCAAATATTCGATAACTCTACAATATATGACTGGAGTTCAGACCATAGTACCGCTGAAGCTACCATTCCTGTTTACTTTTGGAAGCAGTTTTATCTAAATACAATATTATTCAATATATATCAGTCACAACGAGTCTTACTTGCATTTACTACCGTAAATGGGTTATAACCGCTAAATACTTTGCACAGGATATGCAACAGAGCTTAAGAGGAATTACAAAATTCATCTATATCTGCTGATACATTACTTCAATTACAAATAAAATGCTAGATTTTAAAAATAAAACATGTACTCTTTGATTTTTCCTCTAGGAACGTCATGGTGTGTTACTATGACTCTCAGCTCGATCCATCACATTTCCGTTTAATTCAAGCATCTGTTCCTGAAGTTTTAAAGTGGTTTAGCGATTTGTCCGCTTCTAAGCGTGTAGAATTTGTTTGCGGCTTACTTCAGTTATCTACGCCACCAGAGCTAAGGTTCTACGGCAGCTGCTTGGAAGAGATTGCCCGTCAAGATTACGAAAGTCTCCACGATTCTGAAATACAGGCAAATGCACCCATGGAAAATTATGGTGTTTTAACTTTGTATAATACTGTGCCATTGAATCCTGGTATTTCCACTTTGGTAACTCCGATTTCTATCCCGATTCCTCCCTCATTTATAATATTAAATAACAACCCAACATTGCGATCTAAACTTATTATCAGTCTTTCACTACTTAATTCTACAAATATACCAGCAGCTACAAGTTATTTTGAAATGTTAATGGCTGATGAGAGTGACACACATTCGCCGAATGATCTACAAATATCGACTACCATGTTTAAAACATCTTCCCTTGTAAAATGTAAATCATCTAAGAGTGGGTCTGTTTCATCAGACGACAGTGATGACGAATTGTCTTCAGTAGATATTTTAAGGACTATTAACCCGCAAGTCTTGGATGAAATCATGCTCATTTACACACTTGCTGCATTTCATCCTGCTTTCTCTTTTGACCAGCGACAACGTTTGTATAAGCGTTTATCCATTGTAAAAGCCTTATCTGATCATTCAGTAAAAATTGCTCAACTTGCCAATCAGTATAAAGATCCAAATAAACATGTCCTTAGTGAGTGGGAAAAGCCCCCTCAAAAATCACAGTCTCCATCTAACTATAAACACCATTCCTGTCTAAATTTTCCTGCCAGATCTAATGTTCCGCTGTGTCCTGCACCAAGACAATGTCGTCTTCACGGTGACCAAAGCTCCATCAATCAAGTAAGTCACACAGTACCACTGAGTTTTGTATATATCTGCATAACTAAATCACATTCTACTACCAACTAATTACGTCCCCATTTTCAATCCATAAGTTTGGTTCATTTGTGAATTATTTTCTCTCTATTCTATAAAATTAATGAAGCAAGAGAACATTGAACTTTAGTGTGGATTCCAGTCAACTAATGTAGTCACGATATAGCGGTAGTTTGTTAGGCAAAACATTTGACTTTCATTCAATGGTTGATTGATTTCAACCCTCTCCCACTTCAGTTTAACCAGTTAGGTCGTATCCTTATCTATCATACAAACTATGATCCCAAGCCGAGTGCATAAATCTGCTGTTTAAAGAATTCAGTAGTGATAATCCCTATGATCTCCTATCTTAGTAATATGTCTTGTTAAATTTTGATTTTGTCATCATAATCAGATGACTGATAACGTTGATTTACAATCTGTTCACAGTCTGGTTTCAAAAAATATTTCCAGTTATCTAGATGCTAAGGAAATTACCATAGTCGCTTTTTAGTATTAAACTCGGTCGAACTACATACTCGCACTTTTCTGTAATCCAAACGAATTAATCATATATAACAAATTCATTCATAACCACATAAGTAAAAGTCGTTATAATATTTACCAGTAAAGTACAATTTCATGGTATCCATATCATTTGCTAAAGATGAGGCAAATTAGGATAATATCAACACAAAGACAAATCTAACACAGTTATTGTGAATTAAACCGCGGTTGTACGATGACATGTAATTATGATTTATAATTAAAAAGAATAGACTAGTCATTTCCGTCTTCATATCTTGGTATGATCAAAGAAACAAATAAAACTGGTCAAGTGCACTTTACATGATCTTGTAAAGGTGAAGATAAGAAGTTCAATTGAAGTGGAAATTTGGGCCTAAACAAGTTATTATGTCTTCTTCCACCTAGTATTCTTGGACGATTCGATTCACTTGATTAGTTTCCAAATTAAAATACGATTTGACCAGAACGTCTGTATATTCCAGAGTAAATAGCAAGTGAAGTTAGGATAGTAATGAAATGTCACTGTGTACGTAAAATTTATACAGTAGACGTCTGGTGTTCTCTGCCCATCCCTTAGATCTGGTTGATTGAAAATTGGTCAATGAGAATACTCCAACATGGTCTTACCTGAAACATTCTTTTATCGTATCTCCTTACACAAGTAAAAGGAAAATAGATAAAAAATGTTAACTTTTACAATCACCCTTGAGTTCTATGTGAAGCAGTAATACGTTCAGGACTTCTATGACAATGGTATATCAACTACTACATCATTTTAGGTGCAAACGTGCTTGAGTACATAAGGCACGGCTGTTAGCTGCATTACTCGGAGTGCACATATGACATGCGATTGTAACAGCTTCTAAAACCTACCGGGACATTCAAGGCTAACTATTTTTTGATGTCAAGTGATCAGGGATAATAGGGAAAAACCCTCAAAGTCTTTCATGCTAATTAACACCCATCAAAGTGCTGTCTACTGTCTTGAAAAGAAAATTGATATTTTACGTAGGGTTTAAATCCCTATCCCCTTAATTGGTCAAATACGTTACCAATGGGCTGCGTAGACCATGATTACTAGCCTTCTGTAGGACCGAGACGTCAATTGTCTGACCACTGAGTGGCAATTATTTTCATCTTACTCTTGGTACTGATTAAATTCTGTTAGCGGGACATAGACTAGATTAAATCATGCTCAATGCATGATTGCTTTGGTGCACGCTGATTGGCTAATTCTTATCCAATCAGCGCTAGTCGATAGTTGGAGAATATTCTGGATTCTTCTTATGTAAAAACTATAAATATACCGACGTTTTCCCCTATTGTGCTTCCTACTGGCTTCTGACTTGCTATTTGGAATATAATCTTTTTCCTGTTCAACCGTGTTCTGATTTGGGGACTTGTCGAGTGAATCGGTGTCCGAGAATACTAAGCAATAGGAGTAGCTGGGCCATCAACTGTAAGAAAGAGAATTATAACAAATTCCGTCGGTCAAGTTGCCACATCTTACTTAGATATGATATCGTATAAATACTAAGACCAAAATTCCATTTGTTGGTTGTATTAAAACCAAGTTCAATAGCTTTGCAGATTATTTTATTAAAAAACTTCTTGTCTGTTTTAGGACTCCAATAATAATCTTTCTACAAAGTATTCACATTGTGGTTATTTGCTGTGTCATTGCTCACAATGCCGTAAGTAAACAGACATTTTTTCTGACTGAGAAATTGAGCATTTTCGTTTTGATTCCGTTTACTTTTTTTTTCAGTGATCCAAGTGGATTTGTTTTGAATCCCTGTCACGTTGATTACATTTGATAAGTCAGGCAATAATCATTTATTTAAAGATAAATCTGATACACAGAGAGGCAAGCGATACAGAGTAATATTGACTTATGACATTAAACACACATGTCGCGAACTACAGGTAGATAAAGGCATGAATGGCAGATATGTTTGCAGCTACTCTTTTCCCAAAGGTTTATTGTTAAACTATAATTGAACGGTGTATAATCGTTGAATTTCCAACAATAAGCCTATGGGTTTTTGGAACATATTTGACTCCTACTATAATCACTTGGTCTTGCATAATCTCATGTATATTATTTTAGGCCACTTCAACTGTATAGTAAATTTGGATAACGATGCGATGTATTGTCATTCAGCAGATAAACTCGGCAATTAATAGGACGGAAGAATTAAGAGATCAATTCGTGTTGGGATTCTTGAATGAGTTCATTGGAGTATTTAAATGGATAAACAGTTAAATACGCATCTCAGCGAAGGGATCTCTTTTCAACGAATTTATTATCAAGCTGTACAATCGTATATATATGAAAATTTTTGTTTTTGTAAAAGTACTAATTCCGTGGGGAAATGTGAACACAGTTAATAAAAAGGTTATAATACTAGATTACGTAATATGAATAATAACAATAACAATAGATTTGATGAATATAATAAGATGATTAAAATGTTTTTGTCATAATAATTTTCATGTATATACGATTGTACAGCTTGATAATAAATTCGTTCAAAAGAGATCCCTTCGCTCAAATTCGTGTTTTAATTTTAATGTTTAAATACGCATCTATACATATACAAATATAGTACATGAGTACAAGTTAATAATTAGAAATCAAAACATCTTATAGGATTATGAATGAAATTCTTAATATTAAAATAGGACTTGATCCTGATCAGTTACGATTGTATATTAACCCACAAATCATGACTTGGTACCTTCATCTGTACACGTGACTACTTTTCGTCTGTATTTCGCTGACCATTAAATTACTAGCATGAACTCATAACTTCTTATTTATTTATTTATTTGAACACATAAATATTGGTACAAGAGAGCGCCAATATATATGCGCCACACAAAACAATGAAAATTCGAAGAGAAGTAGAAAAAAAAAACTAAGGAGCGCAAAAGAAAAAGAGAACAATGACGAAGAGATTGGAGTAAGGTAGTGTGGTAGTAACGACGGAACGAAAAGGTACAGTCAGAAGAAATCTTTCAGGTAAAGGAGACACAACCACTTTTTATGAAGAAAGCAAAAGGTTACAGCAGGATCGCCACTGGCTTCTATTCTGAGCCATATCTGATAACGTCTCTAGCCACTGTGTAGCACCATCTCTCGGACCCCAGCCAGGGAGTCGTGAAGGACCAACACAAGCCAATCCTTTGCAGCTTTCTTTCATACCACGACACCATGTTATGCACTGACCACCTCTCCGCTTCTTCCAACCAGTCCCAGAGTCGGCAAATAATGCACGACGTGGAATTCTCTGGGACGACATTCGGAGAACATGTCCAAGCCACCGAAGTCGGTGTTTCAAGATGGTGACACCAATTGAATTATCATCTCTGTGCCCGAACACACGATGCCGAACCTCTGCATTAGTGACATGGTGTTGCCACTGGATGTCAGCAATCCTTCGGAGACAGCGATGATCGAACACAGAGAGTCGTCTAACATCCTCAACTCGGAGAGGCCAGGTTTCACAAGGATAGAGCAAAACTGCTCTCACCGACGCGTTGTAGATCCGACCTTTTACAGCCAGACTAACATCACGAAGGCGCCAAAGGTGGCCCAGATTGGCATAAGCCGCTCTGGCTTTCACTATTCGTGCATTGATCTCATCACTCACACCCCCACCAGCACTTATGCAGCTACCCAGATACACGAACTTCTCGACTACTTCTATCTGCTCACCATCTAGGGTGAGTACAGGATTAGAATCCTGCCAGTCTTGTAGAAGTACTTTGTACTTCGAAGGTGCGAAGCACATACCATACCTACGGACACTGATTGCCAGCTCTAGCGCTTAGTGCGACACCAACGCCAGCAAGACCAGACGAAGATGCCACAGGGTCCCCGGATAAGCGCACGTAAAACAAGCTTTTCGAAGCGACAGATGGAGATCGAATTTGTAGTACTTCGCCAGAGTCTTGAATACGGGTCTCGGATAGACAACATACGTCGATATTAAGACTTTCCAAAGACATAGCCAGCCCTATCTGTTGTCCGACCTGCATAAGTATGCGAACGTTGAAGACAGCCAGTTTGAATGGTGCGCGTGGTTTCAGAAAAACTGCTTCAGTCCTCGTATTCGGTGGTAGCATACAATTTTCAACCGGACAGTGACTCGAGAACGTTTAGATACAGTCGGATTTCCACCAAAGACGAGCCGCTGTATAAGTATAAAAGAGGGTGAATAATGTGGAAAATAATAATAATAGTAATAATAATAATAATAATAACAATGACAATAATATTAGTAATAATAATATTAGTATTAATAATGACAATAATTGTAATGATAATAATCTGAATCAATTGTTTGTTTTTCAAAGCGAGAAATATAATTTCCATAGGCATAAAGAGTTCATCAATTTGTGTGTGGGCTGTGATACTGCCCGGGTGCCCAAACCGAAGCAGGTGGTTATCTTAGGGGGCCACTCCCCGAGCCTTTGACCTAAAGGTCTAACCCACAAGGCAGTGGAGCATCGTAAGGAGATGCAGTCCCATGGTAGCCGGTGACCAACTATTGGTTCATACGCCATTTGTTCCCGCAGGATACTGGAGCCCATGTGCACCATTGATTTGGAATCCGGTTACAGCGCCGGACATTCGCTTTTCGTCCTTTCATTTTCGTAAACAACACCCCCGCCACGAGAAGGCAATGAGTAGGACTTCCCTGGCAGAGGCTGTATACGCGTGGCCGTGTGAGAGTATTTCGAGAGGGAGAGCGGACTCTCCCCACTCTTGGCCGTACCAGGGCATTCAGGGGGTCATAACTTCTGCGACTAACAGTGTGGTAGTAAATAGTCCAGTTACATCGTTCTCTTTCATTTATTAATAATTGCAACTAGTTATTCAAAAATATCGTTTGTGTGGATGACGCGGAGGAGCGAAAACATTTTATTTATTAGACATTTGTTTGTGGACTGAGACACTGCTCTTGTCCCCAGATCAAACTAGGTGGTCGCTCCCTGAACCTTTGTCCTAGAGGTCTAATTCACAAGGCAGTAAAGTGATGTCAGGAGATGCTATGGCATGTAAACTGGTAACCAAAAAAGGGTTCATACGCCATTCATCCCCTCAGGATTCTGAAGCCCATGTACATAAGTGGTTTGTAATCAAGGTTTCATAACTCCTCTAGATGAAATGTCCGTGTCCACCAACTCGGTTTAAGCCCAAGACGTTCACTTTTCGTCTTCTCACATTCATTAACAACCCGCACTTGTATAAAGGCAGTACGATTCGTTTGGTTATTTATAAACCTGTAGCCGTATGAAAGCACTTCAAGAGAAATTGGGAATTCTCTTCACCCTCGGTCGCACCAAGCAAATACAGTTTTGCTTTCCTCCCAATCGCAATTACGGCTTGTAGGTTAGCAATGATACTCAAGTTTTACCATCCATCTTCATATGGTAATAGTATTAGGTGTAGAATTCGAACAACCTTGGAGATGTTTACTGGAAATTACTTTCACATAAAGTCAGTCTTTGCACATAATTAGTGTTGATTGCAAGCACATTGTATGATGATAATAATAGCATGTAGTGTTTTCCGTTCACGGATGATTTAATATTTTTGTGCTTATCTCTGCTATTGTTATGCAGGTCATTATCCATACATTCTTTTTTATCGATCCACCAATTTCTTATATTCCAATCAATTATAGTTAAGCTGATTTGTTGTTTATATGGAAGCAAAACAATCTAGCGATATATGTATCTACGCTTTACTTAAATCAACTTTTTTATTATTGTAAACGAGTCCTTAATATCAATGTAGTTGACGTGATTGGTTACTCTCTGCCAGTAAAACCTTGTTTTTAATACAGATACTTGTATTTTCTGATTGAATACAGACATGATAATAATATCTCGTCGAAACTAGTGTTGAAATATGGAACGCGTTTTATCGCAGTTAAAGCTAGTGAAACAATAGGAATCGGTTGGTGTTGTTCAGTAAGTTAAGGGTGAAGATAATATGCACTACTGTTAATGATTTGTAAATAGAGGGAGTATGAGCTTAATTTGTAGGAGAAGAGCTAGAATAGTAGAAACTTAATATCAAAACAATGACTGCGATTCGCACTACATTATAAACGACACCTAGTATCAATCAACTACTACTCAGTCTTCATCAGCTGTCTAAAGTTTTTCTCTATACGGTGTTTGTTCTTGCATGGTCGGGTTTACAAAATGAAAACCGTGATGCTGTCTGTCAAGAGCATTTTATCGAGATCATTCTGATGGTGGTAAAATATACTTCTAACTCCATAAGTGAGAATCAAATCGATGACTACCATTCCCGTTCCAGTGTTTGATAAAGTATCAAGGTTTTTTAGGCTATAAAATTTTTCCACTTAACTAGACTTGTTTATCGTCGAATTAAATCTTATCATGAGAGAAGTAAGTTTTCCAACTGATTACTCATTGTTTGAAATGCTTTTGAATTCCGTTCATACGAAGAATAAACACTTGAACAACGTATGTTTATCGGATGAGTTTTCATTATAAATGTTTTTGCTGATATTTCTTATCCAGTAAGTGATACTGTTCGAATTGCCAGGACCAGGTAGTTTATGAGTGAGTTTCCACTTCTCCTTATCTGACAAAAACAAAACAGCTTTGCAAACGAGCTAATACATTTTCATTTTTGGATTGCAGTGATGATATCCCCTCATTTGTTACAATATATCAGTTTAAGCCCATAGCGTAGCCTGTGGACGTTCGTTGTCTGGTTATGTTGCACTCCATATCAAACATATATATATATATATATAATCATCTGTTCGTCTAATTTTGCCGAAGTTTAATACTAGCAATCTTATTATTTTGATCAACATTTATCTGTGATATATCATCCACTGTTTCTGAAAATACTTATCGTTACATTTTACAAATATTTCCAGATCATCGAGGTTCTGTAACACGTTCATTACGTCGGCATAGTTTACCGTCAGATTGTTTGCGTTTTTGTGGATATGACAGTGACGAAAACAATAAGGTACGTTTATTTATCATAACTACCGGTTACATATATTATTTTTAAATCATACGTTCTTTTAAACATACGTACACTCTCAAAATCTACTTTCTGGCTAGCTATCTTTTTTTCTGTTTCCATATCGAACAATTGATTGTAAAAAGGGCAATGAGTATAAGCGACCCTATTCTAAAACGTGCATCTTCAGCAGTTCCCATCCACGACCCAGCAACTGGAAGTCGAACCTAGGACCTTTGGTTTTGCACATGGACGCTTAGTCCAATTGATGTTGAGTAACAGTAATATCAATAATACCTGCTTCTTATCCAGTTCCTTTTAAGCAATTAATATTATAATTAGTTAACCCATTAGACTAATGCGTAATATACATGAACACTAGTTATGGAGTCACACGTACATACTGAGCCTTGCTTCATACTCTAGTTGCTTAATAGAAGAAGTTAATTCATCAGTAACAGTCGGTTGCTGTGATAAAAGTCATTTAAAATGCAATTGAAATTTTATCACCTGCGGTTGGAGACCTTGGGTAACATGACTCACAAGCTGTCACAATGGTGTAGATGCACCTCCTTTTGTCCTTCCACAAACTCACAGTCCTATAATTTTCATGTATTTTTTTAAAAATTTTGATATCTAACCGTTTCTAATCCTACTAAAAATGTTAGTACTTTTTCCACTCTGAGATTTGCATACTTAAGATTGTTGCCCTACCTAGAGTACAGGCCGCCCACCACCGGAGATCTCCAATCAAATCTGTCCTAAACTACTCTCCTTTCCAGTTGTTGCTAAGTTCTTTTTATGGTCTTAATATCTGCTTCCGATTCCTAGCACTGTTTGTTCCGTCTTACCTGAAAGCCTCAACTTGAGACTTGGTTTGCGATGCAGTTTAGTGACTTCCACAAACGTCCTATCCATATTCAGCATCTTTTCTATAGTTTCCTCAGCTAGAGGCTGATCTGTTCTCTGCTACAGTTTGTTATTACTAATGGTGTCTCACCAATAGATCTGCATTACCTTGACTGAACATTTGTATAATTTTCTGTACTTTTATGGCGATTACAGTGGTAGCCCTCCCCGTGTCAGCTCTGTACAATAAAACTGTCCTAATGTTGGTGTTGAAAATCCTGGCCTTAATCATGGATAGCAGTACTTCTGGGTTCCATATTTTCTTCAGTTGTGGAAGTTTTACCTTTGCTCTCCTAGTTCGTACCTCGAAATAACCGAATTCTCCATGTTTATCAATGATGCCCACGATATACGTAAATGCTCCCACCTTTTTGCGAGCTTCGTCACCAACTGTGGGTTCGTTGGTACTCACCACGTTGTGCTTTAGGATCTTGTTTTTTCCTTTGTGAATGTTGAGACCTACTGCTGTGGAAGCCACTGCTTCACTGGTTCATTCTCTACATTTATTGCTGTGTATGCGATAGAAAGGTTAAATCATCTTGATGGAGTTTTGTTCTCCAGCTCAGAGAACAAAATTCCATCAAAATCATCCACCTGAGCTACAAATCTTCTCCACCAGGCTAAATCATCTCCAAAGTCCCAGTTGTCTAAAGAGTCTACCGTATCTAGCGCTGCTTCTGAGATGTGAAGGTCTTCATCACTCAGCCAACAGCTAGCAAAAAGAGAAAGGAGAGTGAGGATAATTTTCTGACACCAGTTCTCACTTGGAAGGTATCTGTAAGCTCCCTTTCATGCACAACTTTGCAGTTCAGTTCCTTGTAGAAGTTGCGTATGATGCTGAGGATCTTTTCAGGTATTTCGTATTATCGGTAAAGATTCCACAATGTGTTTTCATCCACCCTCTCGAATGCTTTTGCCTAATCTTGAGAGTTGATGTATAATGATGACTTCCATTGTTACATGACCGATCCTTACGAAAACCAGCTTGTTCGTCTCAAATTCGTTTGTCTACTGAATCTTCCATTTGATCCAGCAACACCTTTAAGAACTTGATCTGGCACTGATAGTAGTGTGATGTCCTTGAGCTCCTTCGGTATTTGATGAAGTATCGCTATTTTCAGTTTCGTTGGTACTTGCCGTTTCTTCTGAATCCAGTCGACTCTATGCCTGGCTTCAGTGTTTCAGCTGGTATGATGTTTCATACTGTCACCTTGTCGTCCTTGATTTGTCTGATGGCCTTGATGATCCCTGTTTTCTTGATGGAATAAGATTTACAGGGAGTTTTGCGTGTTTCTTGGATTTCCGGTTGGTCCAGTGATAATGGTCGTCTCAAGAGCTCTTCAAAGTCATTTATCCACCTGTTTCATTGCTCTTAAACGTCCGTGACAAGTTTTCTTATATTCATAATTGGTCCCTCTGATCTACTATATATCCTTGCAAGCCTGTTTGCTCTCTCACATTTTCTCCTTCTGCAGCTTTTTCTGCTACAGCTCTCAGGTCTTCTACATATTTTCGCTTGTCAACTCCAATATTCTTCCTCACTCGTTTATTTACTTTTGTATATTAACCTTATGTCTTAGCTTTCTCCGGCTTTCTCTTCGTCTGTTTTTGATCACTGTTTTTTTGTTTCTTATCTCAAGTCTTCTTCAAACCGCCTACGAAAATACATTATTTATTCTGTTACTTCTTGACATGTTCAAGTTATCGATTCTTTAATTCGTTTCCATTCTTGCTCTCCATGGTGGTTTCTTCTTTTAGTAGATCTTGTAAGACTTTGAACTTGTTGCAAAGAGTTATCATGAACTCGCTGTGATTTTTAACACTTCCAGGGAAGGATTTATTAAATTGTTATAGTACTACTTCTATTATCTAGTGCTTCTTTAGATTCATTTTTAGCTTAGCCATCACCAAGTGGTAATCTGAAGCTATATCAGCTATTCTCTTTGTTCTTCCATTGACCTGAATTTTTTTGATACATATGTGTACTTCCTCGTAGTTATTGTCTCCACCTAATGCGTTTATATCCGGTGTTGTCCATCTCGACCTTGGCGTTCAGTTCTCGTCGGGATAATCAGGCCCTATCCTGAGCGTTTCTGTAGTATGGACTGCAGTCTCTTATTGTCTGTGCTGCTATCTTTAATGGGTGCGTAGCTTTGGTTGACATTCAGTGTGATCTTTTCCTTTGTTTTGAAGGATTCCTTGATCATTCTGGAGTCATGAGATACCCATCGTATGAGTGCTTTCCGTTCCTCTTTGAACATTCTCAGTCTAACGTCTTGTGTATGTGTGATATATTTACTTCTCTGTGACCATCATAGAATAAAAACTCTCCTGAACTTTGTTTTTTTGTCTAGACTGTGTACATTGAGTTTCACTTATTCCAAACAGATCCAGGCTGTATCTCCTCATTTTTGTGGCTATTCGGATGGCCCTCCCAGTCTCCCAAATCACCCAGACATTTTATGTACCTGTTTTAATTGTTGCTCTGATTTTCAGAAGGGGCATTTGTATCAAGGCTCCTAAAAAATCTCGGCTTTCACCATGTGAAGTTATAAATTTCCTAAATAAATACTCTTTGACTTCCAAGGGAGGGTTTAAATAGTTGGAATTATATTTTTGGTTAGTGATTTTTCCTCTACCCGGACTTGAAAGTGACAGTAATCCTAGAGGGGCTCTGAATGCGGTTACTGTGAGATTTAGGTTGGTACGTTACATTTTTCTGTGCTAATGTGGTGTAGCAGCTTGAAATAATGCTAGATTAGTGTAACTGTCTTATTCATCTCAATTGAACCAAGCTTAACAATTGGATTGATGTACACATGTCTCAGGTTACACGATGCATATAGTCAGATAACGTGTTCCATCATATCATAATATACAGTGGATTCTTATTCAATTTGTTTCCACCTGTCGTAATTTAATAGAAATATCTCTGTGTAGTGATTTACGATGAAGATAATCATACTTTTTGAATATTAATATTAAACCATTATTGATCAATGTAATTTGTTGTACAAATAAGGTATTAAGATTTAAGAGATGACCATTTTTATTAATTTAATCTGATAAAACCAGTGGAGTCTAATCCGTGTCTTGTATGAGACAAAAAACTTGTTAAATTTTATCAAAGATGTTTGTAGTAAACATTTGAACACAAAGCTACTCCCCTTTCAATTTTCCGCATCAACATAAACTCTTAATGTTGTACATTCACTTTCTTTCTCTTGTTTTTCTCCACATTGAAATGTTTCATTCTATCAGAATAATATTAAAACTAATACTTGTTGATATATAAACATGAAATTTGTTAGGGTTACTTGAAAGGGTATAGTATATATAGCACATGACATTAGACATAAAACATCACATGTAATTAACCTCTTTTATTAGTTGCTCGTAGTCAGTTGTCTTTTTAAATATTTAGTACTTTTAAGTTCATGTAAAAAAAGCTGTGTATACAGTGATGTTGACTCATTTCATTAACTTTTCGGTGAAAAGTCAATCTTCTCTTCGATTACATTCAGTTGTGTCATCGTTTAAATGTCGTTGTCTGTTAATTCATTCTAAGTATTTAATTACATCAAACTTTTTCTCGTCTTACTGGTAGTAGGAGATCCATAGGAGAATATGTAATAGTGATTTTGACAGTCTTACATACTTGGTTAGTGAAATCAAATAATTGTGTGACCAGTAGTGGGGTTCATTAGTGTCAGTCATGAGACAAATATTGATAATGGCTATGCATGGTAGTTGCACAGTATTGCTAAATATTGAAGATAGGAATATAAATTATTAGATTCTGACTCTTGCATGCTCATTCCGAGGTCTGAAGGTCCTGGGTTCTATTCCTTGTAGGGTTGTGGAGTCCCTAATTAGTATAAAATACCAGTGCGATGATTCTTTATTTTTGATGATTGTCTAGCTAAAATACAGTGTTGTAAATAACATATATGAATTTGCATAAAAACCAATGTTCCTGGGAATTAACGCGTTCTCCGAAAGCTTTTCAATTATAATCATATGGCTCAATGAACTCAACATCACCAAAAGCATTCGCCTACCTCAGCTGTAAATCTTCATGATTTCATAGACCACATAATGTAATGGTAGTTTTTTGTCTGAAAAAAAATTTTCCCCTATCTTTTTAAAAATAATTTATGCCACTTTGACGTTTATTAATTCTTCTGTCCCTACTGTTTCATTCAAAATGCAATTTGTACCGGATTCTCAATATTTTCACGCTTATTCAACTTAGTTAGAAAGATGGGACTTATTAAGACACTATGAAATGGCTATAATAAAAACAGAACTAAACTATTTGAGAGTATTCACATACTGAACTGTAATCTTCGTAGCTGTTCATGCTAATTTGTAGTACTAAATACAAATTTTTCTGTGTAATCAGCTCTTACGGACTCTGTTAGTGTCAGAGAGATAATATGATGGTAATTGATTACCATCATCTTACCTAAACCTGCCCCCAAATGTCCTGGTACGGCCGAGAGTGGGGAGTGTTATATCCTAGTGAAGATTAAATTACCGGTAACTTCCGAGGACTATTAATGGAATAATATTCTATAAATATTCCTATTGTATAATTATTCAATAATTAGATTATGTATATTTATATCCCCCTTATTATAAGTTTCATTTTGACCTATAATTTATTATTATACGATTTACTGTCCCTAAATTATGCAGAGTTTATTAACTACTGCCTCCTACGTTCACAGCCACTTTTTGGCTTTATTGTGTACAAATGTTATTTCCTATTTTATGGTGTGTTGCGGTCTGTTTGTTTGATATATAAACACAGTATGTTTGAAATTTATGATTCGCATATTGGGAGCTGGTATTGAAGTTCTGGACTCAAGTGAACGGGCTAGGCGGACATAGGACCAATAAGAACGCTAGACTGCTCATACTGGTCGAACGTGATTGGTTTGGCACAGTGCTAAGATTGTATAAGTCACATTTTGATTGGTGGATAAATCACATGGTAAAAAGCCGGACATAAAGTAATAACAGGGAGAGTCCGCTCTCCCTTTCGAAATGCTCTCACATGGCCACGCGTATATAGCCTCTGCCAGGGAAGTCCTACCCACTGCCTTCTCGTGGCGGGGGTGTTGTTTACGAAACTGAGAGGACGAAAAGTGAATGTCCGGCTCTTTAACCGGGTTGGTGGACATGGAGAGTCCACCCAGGGGAGTTGGAAAACACTGATTCCAAACCAATGGTGCACATGAGCTCCAGTATCCTAAAGGAACAAATGGCGTATGAACCAATCGCTGGTCACTGGCTACCATGGGACTGCATCTCCTTACGTTACTCCACTGTCTTGTGGATCAGACCTTCAGGTCGAAGACTTCGGGTGTGGCCCCCTAAGAAAAACATCTGAATCGGTTTGGGCACTCAGGCAGTATCTCAGCCCTCACACATATCAAATGAGATCTGTGTGGCGCATATGTATTTGGTGCCTCCTTGTACCAATATCTATGTGTTAAAATAAAATAAATAAATACCTAAACCCGAAGTAGTCCGAGTGTGGGCTCAAACCTTGCAACCTATTGACCGAGAGTTGCTCCACACTTACGCTTTAGTGTTTTTACGTCCAATAGATATGTAATATTACACTCATCCCAGAATTCATGATATAATGATCAGTACTTCTTTCAAATCAACTTCTAATACATTTATTTTGTTGATACATCAAAAAAGCATTTGTTAAACAAATCAAATTCTGTTGTATAATGTCATCCAGACTTCTGTAATTTGTTTATTTGGAGGATTGCATAGTGCGTCATAATTAATCAGTTTTTTATAAACGAAGATTGTGGAGTAAAATGAATTCATTAAATCATGGTCTTTCTCCCTTTTTCGTTCATCTAAAAATCGAATTTACGCAAATATGAAAAGTAGTTAAAGTTGTCAGTAGTGGAATAAGTGACTCTATATATGTCACATGCAATATTACATTTTTGAAATACTTAGTTTTCTGATTTCTATCAGTCAATCCGTATATAGAGGAAGATCAAGAGTACATGAAGTAAAATACATACACTTCATTGCTCATAATGTGTTTGTTGTTGTTCTTTCTTTCTAAAAATGCCTGTCATCAAGGGAACAAATTGCATTGTATTTTAATTAGTTACACTATTCCTTTCATGAAAATTTTCTGGGGAGTGTTTAATTTCTACTTCCCTCTGATTATTTCCATTCCACCCTCACCAAATTCATATACAAGTGAGTTGTAGTTTATTTTTATTTTCAATGTTTTACATGTTTCTCTCCCTGTTAACTCGTCAATCCTTTTATTGTGCTAACTTGTTATTTATATTTTCTTTAAATTACCATTTTTAGTTAAGAATATTTAACTACGTATCATCGATCGGGTTGTATCCGAACTGGATACTCAAAATAAGCGTTAATTGGGCTCCGAAATATCACTAACACAACAAATATAACACTTTACACCCTAACAACAGGTTAAGATATTAGTTTAAAACACTTAAGTTCGACTCTAAAATTAATATTATCTTCGTACATAGTTACTTTACTAGTCATACAGGTATGAATTTTAACACAAAAATGAACTATATCATTATTTTTACATATTTTCCCCATTTCTAACTAGGAACTTATTTCAATTACCAATCCAAGTACCGTAGATATGCATTTCAACAATAAAAGTGATACATTGGATGTATCATCGGTGACAAGCATTCAAACTGATTCATCATGTATTAGTAGACCAGATGATTCATTAGAGTCTACTAGCCGACGAAGGGATGATGCTTTCGGGAGATTCGATGCTATTATTATTACTACTACTACTACCACTACTGTTACTACCACTGCTACTAGTAGTAATCAAAGGTCGAATGATGAACACTATCCTAGGACTACACGTTGTTTATCATGTCGAGAATACGATAGTCAAACTTGTAATGGAGAGTTATCTACTCATGATTCTGATTTGAATTATCTTAAAGAAGTACATCTTTGGTTGAAAAATCCTAATCGATCAGTTACTATTGGCGATCAATTTAATTCTTCTCCAAATACAATATCGACAAAATCTTCAATAAGTTTATCGACTTTATCCGATAATATTCACACATCTTTCCCATCTATGTTATCAAATTCTCAGTCTACATCTAAACTACAGGTATCCGATGTAGTGGATCCATTGTTGTTGACCAAGAACGATAATCATAATGGTAATAATAATTCCAGTTGTTTGGAACAAACACTTCCAGCCAGTGTTTATGATAATCGTCTGGACTTGTCTGCTGACTGCCAATCTATTAGCGAACTATGCATAAGTAAGTGTATGTGCGCTTCAATACTCTACTTATTTATATTTCCATATGCATTCCTGTTATATGGTTACATTATATTCTAGCAAAATGTAATTAATTTGAACTAGTTAACGGCTTTTCGGGAGGTTCGCATTATTCTTATAAATTGTTCCAGCAAATCACCTTCGATGTGATAAGATAGCAGTCAAATCAAATTGAATGACGTGTAACGCCATAACTTCTATTTTCATATTTTTCTCCGAACCTTGTCAGTATTAAAAGACAATATTTTGCCCATAATTAGAAAAAATTGCTTATTCAACAGTTTAAATACAGTTCATGTGCACATTTCTTAATGAATATGGAAAAATAGTTGAATCACTTGCACTGATTTACAAACTGTTCGAACTATCCAGCTAAATGAGCAGAGATGAATGTTGGCTAGCAGTAGAATCCAGGACGCGCGTTTCGTCCTGTTTGGACTCGTCAGCTGGATGTACCTACACTCCAGAGTCGGTGTTCACTCCGGGACTCGAACCCAGTACTTTTCGCTTCAAACGACATCACGTTATCCACTTAGATACTGAGTCCAGATAGTCAACAGTTTATACAATAGAATGAAGTAATTCATCTTTGTATTGGTTGTCTGAATCTTACCGGAGTGAAGATTAACTCTGGGATGCAGGTGCATCCAGCTGACGAGTTAAAAATAGGCCGAAACGCGCGTCCTGGATTCCACTGCTAGCTACCATCCATCTCTGCAGTGCTTGTGACTTAAAGTAATATCAAGGCAATCCGCACAGGATGCACATGTACTAATAAGAGACTGATCAATCGCAATCCAACAACTAATACAAAAATAAACTATCTAACCATATTATTAGGACAAATAAATAGATAAATATTCACCCCTATATGTTATTTGTTAATTGATGACAATCGATTGAAACTCGTCTGCACAATTTGTATCCTAAATTTTGAAGTTAATTCACCCCGTCTTATGTAGAATTCGAACTCCTTACTACATAACAATAAAAAATTACGATTTAGAGTTATGCGATCTTTAATACTAGGTCAAAGCCTAGTAATGGTCGCATTACAGTTTGACTGATAGAATGCGATTAGTACTTAGGAACAGATAATATAATATTAATTGATCACTTAGTCTGTAAATATCTGCTTTTATCTGGGAGCGGACCAAAGTATTTACATCTAACTTGACATCTTCCTACCATTTTTGTCAGTATTTATTATTTATTTATTTTAACACATAGATATTGGTACAAGGAGGCACCAAATACATATGCGCCACACAGATCTCATTTGATATGTGTGAGGGCTGAGATACTGCCTGAGTGCCCAAACCGATTCAGATGTTTTTCTTAGGGGGCCACACCCGAAGTCTTCGACCTGAAGGTCTGATCCACAAGACAGTGGAGTAACGTAAGGAGATGCAGTCCCATGGTAGCCAGTGACCAGCGATTGGTTCATACGCCATTTGTTCCTTTAGGATACTGGAGCTCATGTGCACCATTGGTTTGGAATCAGTGTTTTCCAACTCCCCTGGGTGGACTCTCCATGTCCACCAACCCGGTTAAAGAGCCGGACATTCACTTTTCGTCCTCTCAGTTTCGTAAACAACACCCCCGCCACGAGAAGGCAGTGGGTAGGACTTCCCTGGCAGAGGCTATATACGCGTGGCCATGTGAGAGCATTTCGAAAGGGAGAGCGGACTCTCCCCACTCTCGGCCGTACCAGGGCACTTGGGAGCTTTGTGAGTATTTTGTTGTGATAAAATGTAAAAAAGATTGGCTATTCATAGTCAATCTCATTTTAAAAAATGGTCAGTCCTGTATAGTTTCACTGAATGATGTAATGGTAGATCATGATTAAAATCATCTAGGTTTTCGGTCAGACGCGCAAATAATTGACTATCTATACTGTTATGATATTAATATGTCATAAGCTTAATATAGTCTTGTGTAAGAAACAGTATCCATTTAATGCAAATGGCTACTTTAAACATTGTTTACGTTGATTTAATGACCTAATCAGTATATAGTGAACCGGAGAACCATGTACCTATTTATATTCGATAATTTTGATGTTTGATTAGATTTCCTTGAAAAAACTTGGACCAGATTGCCAGGCGAAACGTTAGATTTACTTCGAATTCATTCGCTGAGATTTTACTAATAATTCTTTTCTCTTTAAAGTATCAATTTAGTTTATTAATACTCAATAATTGGTAATCACCACTAGTCTTCGGTGTTTCAGTTAATTTTTGTACTCAAAGATTTGACTTCTGAACCCTCTAGTGTATCGAGAGAAAGATGTGAATTTCTCTGTTCATTATTCGAAGTAGTCAGAATTAGAATTATTCGTCTTTATTATCGTGCTATATTTAACTTATATAGGTTGGTGTTCGACCAGTCGGTTAGACCATTGTATAATAATACATTTTAACATATGATATTCGATTTACAACATGATGACTCATTTTGAGACTGACGGTGCTCATAAGAAGCACAAAGCAACAAGTATTTTAGTAATTTATATTAACGTGTTTATTAAGTAAAGATTCGTTTACCTAGCTTCAACCCACGTTCTAAGTTTGAGGACTATTGATCCCATCCAGTTAATCAAATCGAGATAGGTGGAGTGGAATTCACACTTATGACTTATTGACTGAAAGTTGAACACCTTAATTACTGAAGTGATCTTTTTGACAATAAAGGATAAACTGCTAATGTAGTCGTACCTGAGTAAATCTACTGTCATGTAACACCCATTCAGTCTGTTTTTACCGTCTTGTATTAAGAAATGGAATGAATATCTTCAGATTTATGGCATCCAGTAATAATTAGTCGGTTTTACTAAGAATTATCTCTCTAAAGTGATTGCTATGATCATGTTAATTAGTTTTCTCCATTGAATTTCGCTACTGCCTAGATACAACAAGAACCTTAACAGCTTCTGATGGGCCTTCCGTTTATAAAGATCTAGTTCGATCATCTGAGGAATTTACTTCATGTTCGCCACCGATTAACCTGAGTTCAATGAATAATCCAATGTATTCCTCGTCATCTACATCGAACAGAAGAGTCGTAACCACAACATCAAGTTCAGACTTTCGTTTTGGTGCTGAGAAATGCTCGAAAACAATATCAGACTTTTGCCCCCTATTTCCCAAGCGTCATAGTTCCGGTTCTTCTCCAATCTCCACACCACCTTCTGAAGAAAGCAGTTCTGACTCCACTGCACTAAAAGCATCTTCACCGGAATATTGGACTCCAAAAGGCTCATCACGTTATATTCGTGGAATATACACACCATACCAATCTTACAGTCAAACATTTCGTCCTGTTGTGAATCATTCTCGAGAATCTCAAGTAAAAAACACTTCCTCTTCAAGTCGATTATCCCAAGCATCTCATTCGATGGTTGTATCACAGTCCAGTAGTGTATCAAAGCGCAAATCTTACAATCAATTCACCTTGGAGGATTTCCCTTCATTATCAACTTTACGTTCCATGGTCAATGCGGAATCATCAAATGTTTCAACTAAACATAAAACGAGTAATGAAAATTACAGTTCTTTTAATAGTCATATCAATCATAGTTGTAACAACAGTAATGATAATAATAATGCATGTACTCGTCAATTACCGATCACATCCACTACTTTTCCCGCGTCTACGTGTGAATTACCTAATAGTGTACAAAATTCTCAATTAGATTTTGATAAACTTCCAGGTTAGTTAAATATTTTAAAAGCAAACAATATTAATGATAAATAGTACATTTATTTGTACAGAGATAGGGCTATTTACAATTGATACTTGTTGATATATTAAAAAAACTGAAAAAAGTATGTTGTCTACATACTGGTTTGTTAGTCCTGTTTTCCCATTTTTATTTTTTCCAGAAAGATCTCTTATTCTTCATTACTTTAAACATCTAAAACGTATTTTCACAACACAAAATGAATATTTAACTTCGTCATCTTAATAGCAGTATTGTATTGTACAAATTTATATATAGTTAGTCTTAGCTCACACTTTTATGCAAGTGATGCCAGCTGATAATTTTATTCGTTTGCTCAAATCAAAGTAGGCAGTTAAAGTAGGACTTGAACCAGAGACCTGTAATTCTTTGTAGGTAGCTAAGAGTTCTCACCATTACTCGACCACCTTCCTTATTTTTTCACACTATTTCTATTGCCGTCCATTTTTGGGGACGCCATATCTCCAGAAATTTCTTGTCTAACGTCTTTTAGAAACTTAAATTTATCGTTTTTCGCTCCAAAAGCGGCCATTTTTACCTTCAGATGGTATTTCCTACTTGGAAGGACCCTAAATGTCATTGGTTTGTCACCTCTTTTAATATTCTGTTTTGTGACGCTTCACAAGAACCGTTTTATACTGTATGTGTACGCTTGAATTGTGTGCTTGGTTCGTTCCTGCTTCTGGCTGCTTGTGGAATATACTTTTCCCTCGGCTGAACCTGATCTTCTCCCTCTAGTTAGCCGGGCTGGGGCGCATTGAGATAGTTTAGCTTTTCTTTTTGCTGTGTTGCAGATCTTCGTTCCGTTCGCCGGTTTTATTGATGTTGTAATCTGTTCAAACACAACACTATGTTACTAACTTTGTCTCTGTTTAGATTAGTTTTGAATCCTGTACTAATATACTCTATCGGCCTCATATTTGCTATAAGTTGTCCTGTAGACATTTATAACATGAAAAATTTAATCACAGGCTTTTTTCCGACTTAAGCATCACAATACTGTGAGTCTTTTAGTCATTTTCGTTTAGGATGTGTTTCTCCCCCTCTAAATGCAAGTTGTTGCTTCAGGGCTGGCCTGTGTCAACACCTAAATTTGTAGAACGCGTCGACAACTTCACTTATCTTGGAAGTCTGATCAGCCCTAATAGGTTGGTGTCTGAAAAAATTTCTGCACGGATTCAGAAAGCTCCTTTGGCTTTTGCCAATTCATGTCACCTTATGGCGAAGGTGAGATATCTGCCTATCAAGTAAGGGACGAGTATACTGTGTGGTAGTTCGTTCTGTTCTACGTTACAGCTGCGAAATGTGGCCATTAAGAGTACAATATACTCGTAAGCTACTAGTATTTGACCACAGATGCTTTAGAAATATTGCTGGCATCTGCTGGGATCATCGGGTAAGTAATAGTGTGTTTAGACGCAGGGTATTAAGGAATGAAGGCAAATCAGTTGATGAGGTTGTAAGTCTTCATCGACTAAGATGGTTGAGCCACGTGTTACGTATGCCTGAACACCGGTTACCACGACGCGCAATGCTGACTGGTGTTGGAGATGGTTGGAAGAAAGTTGTGGGCGGGCAAAACAAAATGTGGCATCAGTCACTGGAGTCACTAACTTCTATACTGAGCCATGTTGGTAGATGCAGACTACTTGGTTGGGGTCCGCGTGACTATCGTAACCAATGGTTGGAGACTCTTGGTGACATGGCTCAGAATCGATCACAATGGCGTCGTTGTATACACTCTTTGTCTTCCCTTAAATCGTGAGATTAAAACAGCTTTACGTATTTCTTTCTAATTCTTTATTCCTGTACTATATCCTTATATGCAATCTTTCCTTCATATATTACCACCACTAAATTAACCACTTCTATGAATCCGGTGTTCATCTTGTTGTGTTAATGAGGTATGACAACTTGGACTGATGCATATATATGGCTGGTCGTACGTTGTAACTGACTGACTGTTTAGGTCATGTCACAAGACACAAAGCACTATTTGATATACTTGGATAGGTTGCAAATGGAATAGATTTTTTATCTATTCTGTGTACGTGAATAAATTTTCGCTTTTCGATCACAACTTCATGTCTCCTTACTCTTTCAGTATGTGCGAAATGTAACCACTTTTCATCCACTGGCAGTTAATAACGTCGAGTAAACTTCTTCATTGCTTTATAGATTTGCATCCAAATTGGTCTACTTTTAATCATTTCTCACTACACACTACATCCTTTTCCAATACTTCATTATGTTTATCGTTGAATATCTAGATTGTTCAAAGAATAGGTCTCGCGAATGCAAAGAATTTCTATGCCTCGTTAATAGACAATAGTTCGTGGTGGAAATTATCTTGTTTTTATAGGTTTATTAAGTGAACTGTTGACCTGTTTGGTATTTTATGTTATTAGTGTTATTTATGTTCTAAAAATCTTTCGGATCTGGTTGAACTGCTTTTTGTCCATGATGTTTTGTATAAATTCTCAGTTTTTTTAAGTCGTTATCTTTCGTTTATTTATGTACTTCAGTTGTTTCTAACTACATGATACATGGTGAAAACGATAATACGGTTGTAAAATTAATCTCATCGAATTCAACTGATAATATTCAATTGGAGCCAGGTGTTTTCTCTTCTAATTCGTCGAATTTTCTTCCGATTATGATAACAAATTCAACTACTTCCTCACATATATCTGTGTTACCACGTGTTACCACTAGTACTACTATTACTACTACTACATCTGTCTGTACTGCTTGTACTGCTACTACTGGCAGCAATAGTTTTTCCATCTCACCACATTATTGGATGTTACCTGAAGGTCCTATACCAATACTTCCTTCAACATTATATTCGCCATATCTATTGCCTACATCTACTATTTTAGAAAATTTCCAGTATATGCAAAGACTACCTATGTTATATCAGTGGACAGTCCAATCGGCGGATACATCTAGTAACAGTATTAACTGTATTAACAATGTATGTGCATCTTTTATACCATATTTATCGCCCTGTGTTGGTATTTTCACTACAAACTCTGTGAATAATAATAATAATAATAATAATAATAATAATAATAATAATAGTGATGATGATATACAATGTGCCAAAATGAATATTCCGGAGATTAGTACAATTTATCATTCCCCTCAAGAATCTGATAACGACGAACACGATAATAATGATGATCATGAGCATAATGATATCGAAAAGAAAAAGAAAATCAAAGAACTAGATAGTCCATTACATTCTACCAGTACCACTGATGTCTCTATGAATAATAATAATCACAATATTGAAGTAACTACTAACATCACTCCTCTTGAAACTACAAGTTCTTCAATCTGTAATTCTCCGGTGGAACTACTTCATAAAGGCTTGTTTTCACAATCATACATCTTATTGCCTTCATACCCTCCTACTCCTATCCCTACTACTACCACTAATATTCTCCCATATTCAACTTCTAATATGTATGTTAATACTTTAAATTCTTGTGGAATAGTGCAAAATTCACCAGTTTGTCAAGCAAGTATAACGATAACAACAATTTGTAATAATAATAATAGTAGTGGTATCGATCTGATTACAAATAATAATAATTTGCTTTCAAATCATCATTTGAATACAACTATGATGAAGCAACTGAATGATGAACGGAATTTACCAGAGATTAAAAAGATCAATGTGTCAAACGATACAAATATCTGTCCAGTATCACATGAAAAAACGTTTAATGGTATCAACGCCACAGCGAATAGTACGACCTCACCTTCGTTTGTGACTACTGATACTACCATTTTAACGACGAATTTGAATATTAATCGTATCCATTCATCTAACCGGTCAGTTTTACTGGATTCATTTGCCAGTTATTTACTTATATATATTCAAAATTTGTCTGTTCTGCTTTTTATGTTTACAAGAATTTTGTTCTCGTTATTTGTTAATCTGAAACAACTGTTATGGTTTCGGTTAAGATATGCGATACTGTCGGTAGAAAGTACGTATATCGATATCAGGGCCTTCTCCAATTCGTTGTATGAGATCATATATGTTTATTTACATCATAAAGGCTCTGTACACAAACTCTTCAAACAAAGTGCGGATCTATGACGACCTCTCTCTATCGTTTCATTTCATCAATGGAGTTAAGCAAGATTATCCTACTCCACATTTCCTCCTAGACGTTGCCTTCGATTACATTCTGAAAATAGCTCTGTTGGGATTAGATAATGGGAGTGTGGACTCATTACCTGGAGAAAGACTTTTCGGTCTTGACTATGCGAATGATTTTTATCTTACTTTGCAATTATAATCTCAAGCTATGCGAATCTCACTTAATCAGTTGGCAGTCAATCAGTGTAGGTGTGGTATGTATTTTGCAGCTTCCAAATACATTGTACACCTACAATACTGGGAAGAGATTTTTATGCACTCACTCTTGATGATGAGCAGTTGAAAGTAGTCAAAAACTCTGTATATCTGGGTAGCTGTGTGAATATTTGTTGCACCATAACAGTTGAGATCGATCTACTTATAGTGAAATCCAATCCTGGGTGTCTTATACCGATCTAAATTATCTTTGGCGTTATCCTGGGTGAGATATTTATTATTTATTCGAACACAAGTATTGGTACAAGAGAGCGTCAATATATATAGGCCACACAAAACAATGAGGATTCGAAGAGAAAGAAAAAAAGGTAAGGGGCGTAAAAAAAATGAGAACAATAACGAAGAGGTTGGTGTAAAGTAGTGTAGTAATAATAATAGTAATAATGGGGAGAACGGAAAGGTACAATCAGAAGAAATCTTTCAGTTAAGGAAGAAACAACCATTTTTTATGAAATAAAAGGTTACAGCTGGATCGCCACTGGCTTCTATTCTGAGCCATATCTGATAACGTCTCTAGCCACTGTGTCGCAACATCTCTCGAACCCCAACCAGGGAGTCGTGAAGGACCAACACAAGCCAGTCCTTTGCAGCTTTCTTTCATGCCACGACACCATGTTATGCACTGACCACCTCTCCGCTTCTTCCAACCAGTCCCAGAGTCGGCAAATAATGCTCAACGTGGAATTCTCTGTGACGACATTCGTAGAACATGTCCAAGCCACCGAAGTCGGTGTTTCAAGATGGTGACATCGATTGCATTATCACCTCTGTACCCGAACGCACGATACCGAACCTCTGCATCACTGACATGGTGTTGCCACTGAATGTCAGCAATCCTTCGGAGACAGCGATGATCGAACACAGAGAGTCGTCTAACATCCTCAACTCGGAGAGGCCAGGTTTCACAAGCATAGAGCAAAACTGCTCTCATCAATGCGTTGTAGATCCGAACTTTTATAGACAGACTAACATCACGAAGGCGCCAAAGATGGCCCGGATTGGCATAAGCCGCTCTGGCTTTCACTATTCGTGCATTGATCTCATCACTCACTACCCCACCAGCACTTATGCAGCTACCTAGATACACGAACTTCTCGACTACGTATATCTGCTCACCATCTAGGGTGAGTACAGGATTAGAATCCTGCCAGTCTTGTAGAAGCACTTTGCACTTCGAAGGTGCGAAGCACATACCATACCTACGGACACTGATTGCCAACTGATTAAGTGCGGATTGCATGCCTCGGGCATTATCGCACAGTAAGACAATATCATCCGCATACTTAAGGTCGAGAAGTCTTTCTCCAGGCAACAGATCCACACCACCATTACTTACATCCATCAGAGCTGTTTCCAGAATGTCATCGATGGCAAAGTTGAAGAGGAATGGTGAGATTGTGCAACCCTGCCTAACCTTACTGCTCGAATGGAACAATGGAGAGAGGTGGTTGTATGCCCTCACTCTGCCTGAGGTGTTTTTTCGTAGGGCTTTTAGGATGTTAATAAACTTCTCAGGCACACCCTTCAATAGACAATCCCAGAGAACAGTCCTGTCCAACGAATCGAAGGCAGCCCTGATGTCAAGAAACACTACGATTGTTGGCCTTTGAAAAGTATGGCGGTGTTCTAACATTTGGCGGAGGGTGAAGATATGATCAATACATCCTCGACCAGAACGAAGCCCAGCCTGCTCCTCGCGAGTCAATCTTTCTCGGGTTTTAAACAACCTACGAAGTATGACGGAAGCCAATAGCTTGGACGCAATCGGAAGTAGACTTATCCTCCGATAGTTGTTACAGGAACGACGTGAACTCTTTTTAAAGATAGGGACAACTATCGACTCATTCCATAACGTTGGTACACTCTCTAGTTCCCACACCTTTGTAAACAACGTCGTCAATTCCTTAGTCAAAAAGTCACCACCATCTTTAAAAAGAGCCGGAGGTAAGTCATCTGGGCCAGGTAGTTCGTAACACTTCAAGAGTTGGAGTTCCTTGCGGACTTCCACCTCATTTGGTGGATCAGTCGTCACCGGCCATGGAGGGCAGGACAGTCTGACCGATGTTGCCGGAGCAACAGGCCAGTTGAACTGCCCTTCGAAAAATTCTGTCCATCGTCCAAGACGTCGATGGATGTTAGTGATTGGCATCCCATCATCCTTGCAGATTGTTTCGCTCACACCAAACTTCTTGCTGCCAGTGGCTCGGATGAGTTGGAAGAGCTTCCGGTCATTACCAGATGCAGCTGCTGCTTCCAACTCATTAGCACGCTTCGACCACCAGGCTTCTCGGTCCTTACGCAAGCTTTGCCCAATTTCCTTACGTAACATCCTTCGTTTGTGGTCAAGCTCACGGTCACCCGGAGTAGACCGACGGGCTACAATGAGTTGTGAGGAACCTGAAGAAACCCAGTGCTTATAAGCGGGACGTTTCGCGAACCCACAACTGACTGTACCCGCCATTTTGATGGCGTCATGCAATTGCAACCAATGCTCATCTATAATTTTCGGTGGAATGGTAGCTAGCCTAGAAGCTAGCTCGGTTCGATACTTACTTGCAACAGAAGTTGCAACCAGCTTGCTAACATCAATCCGTTGGTGGCGGTCACTTCGTTGTGCACTGAAAAGTAAGGTAAGATTGGCGCATACCAAAGCACGGTCAGAGTCCAGATAGGTACTCCAAAAGGAGGACGCCAGGTAGCACATCGGCGATGACTGTGTCGAAAGTTAGTGCTAGCCAGAAACAGGTTGTAGTCTGTGCAAAGTTGCAGTAGACGGTCCCCGTTATCTGACCTGCGACCAACGAGTCCCCATCAACCACCTAAACGACTCTCTTCTGTGCCTAGACGCCCGACCTGAGCATTCAAGTCTCCGGCTAGTACTACGATATCTGTCGAACGCACTTTCTGGAGAAGAACAGATAACTGGTGGTAAAACTCATCCTTGATTGCATCCGGGCTGCAATCTGTCGGGGCATAGGCGGAGATGACGAAAAGACATCGTTTCTCACGCCGATTTCTTCTCACTTTGATGGAACTTTCTAATCTAACAGCACATAACCGACTGTTAATGGGGATCCAATCGACTAGTGCTGCCTCAGCTCTAGCGCTTAGTGCGACACCAACGCCAGCAAGACCAGACGAAGATGCCACAGGGTCCCCGGATAAACGCACGTGAAACAAGCTTTTCGAAGTGACAGATTTAGAGCGAATTTGTAGTACTTCACTAGAGTCTTGAATACGGGTCTCGGATAGACAGCAGATATCGATATGAAGACTTTCCAAAGACATAGCCAGCCCTATCTGTTGTCCAACCTGCATAAGTGTGCGAACGTTGAAAACAGCCAGTTTGAATGGTGCACGTGGTTTCAGAAAAACTGCTTCAGTACTCATATTCGGTGGTAACATAAAATTTTCAACCGGACAGTGACTCGAGAGCGTTTAAATAGAGTCGAATTTCCACCAAAGACAAGCCACTGTTTAAGTATAAAAGAGGGTGAATAATGTGGTAAATAATAATAATAATAATAATAATAATAATAATAATAATAATAATAATAATAATAATAATAATAATAATAATAATAATAATTTGAATCATTTGATTGCTAGTTGAAGCAAGTAAAGTAGTTTCCATAGATATAGAGAGTTCATCATTTGCGTGTGGGCTGCGATACTGCCCAGGTGCCCAGACCGAAGCAGGTGGTTATCTTAGGGGGCCACACTCCGAGCCTTTGATCTAAAGGTCTAACCCGCAAGGCAGTGGAGCATCGTAAGGAGATGCAGTCCCATGGAAGCCGGTGACCAACTATTGGTTCATACGCCATTTGTTCCCGCAGGATATTGGAGCCCATGTGCACCATTGGTTTGGAATCCGGTTAAAGCGCCGGACATTCGCTTTTCGTCCTCTCATTTTCGTAAACAACACCGGTGCCACGAGAAGGCAATGAATAGGACTTTCCTGGCAGAGGCTGTATACGCGTGGCCATGTGAGAGTATTTCGAGAGGAAGACCGGACTCTCCCCACTCTTGGCCGTACCAGGCCATTTGGGGGCTAAATTCGAATGGAGTGTGGTGGGATTGACGTGTGATAGTGGACAAGGGACGTGTATTCGTTGGATGTAGAGATGATTGTGCAATGGTATATTGCCACAGGGATTGAGAGTAATCCGGGTGTGTGTTCGTGGAGTAGTTGTACAGTGTGAGTGTATTGATAGATGTGTGACGAAGCGAGTGTTGATGTGTTGCGTCGAAAGTGGGAAGCGCCTCCGGGTGGGCTCGAACCACCAACCTTTCGGTTAACAGCCGAACGCGCTAACCGGTTGCGCCACGGAGGCGAAAGATAAACAATACTCTTGTTCATCAACTGCTTTTTTTCAAGCTTTTATAGTTCTATTTTACCTATCTTTATTTCTAGCCTAATAACTCATCAAGCATATGGTTCTAATCGTACTGATATAATCAATACGGAGGAAACTCATAAAAATCCACCAGTAAATACTGTTGAGAATTGTGACTGTTCAGATTCTACCAACAGTAGCAAACCTTATCCCTTATGGTCTACTAATGAAACTGTTTGTAATCCTACTTGGTTCTATCCTCGTTTTCCTGGTCGACCTGATTCTTCAAGTGGTCTACCCTCCAGTACTTCCGGGTCCCAACGTACTTACCCTACTCGTGGTTATTCACCTATGAATTTCAATAATTCTGTTCTACCACGCGGCTATGCTCAACCTCAAATTGCCAGTTCGTTTTACTATACACAACACCCTGGTTTAACATTAGTTCCGAATTCTGTGTCCAGTCATTCACCATTTATTGGTTCAGTTCCTAATCCAAATATGCACTTCCAACAACCACATCCTTTATACGGTTTAGTTCCTAGTTCATCTTCGACTTCTGGGGCATCACTGAATGGATACCCAGGAATTCCTATGGCCTCTACAAACTCAATTAAATCCAACATTTCTTCCATAGGTCAGTCATCAGTAGCATCAGTTGATCCTATATCAACAGCAGCCTTACTACAAAATGCTTTGATTCAAATACCAAATGTTCCTTTGCTACAGAACTTCGTGCTACATCCGCCTTTACATCCAACATATCCTCCGCCAATACCAAATATACCAGCTAATTGTGCCAATAATCCTGCCATGACAATTTCTTCTTGGTCATCAATAAATGGACCTAGAATAGTCAGTTGTTACAATTGTGGTCAGCCAGGACATAAAGCTAATGTTTGTCCATCTAGATGGTCTAGTCAACAATTATCAGAAAGTAAGCAAAAATTAACTGTTCCCTCAATTGAATTGATAGAAATATTATTTCCTACACACACTCCTCCCAAACTAATCCCCTAATTTTATGTTGAACAATTTTAATGTTATTCTCAGAATGATTTTAATCTCATCTTGTGTGTGCTCCATAGCTCTCTATACGTTCCTAAAGGGCAAAAAACGTTATTAGCTGTTAAGCATATCTCTTAATCAAGTGTGGTAAGATGATCGTACGTTATAAGCATATCTAAACCGATGTTCGAACCAGAGACTTATTTTCTGAAAGCAGAGTATTTTAAAAAACAATCCTCCATTCTCCCAGATGATATCTTGCGCTATGAACTACATTATTCATATTTATATTCGACACAACTTTAGTGGTCAAGACATCACTTTCAACCATTGATTCTCAGCTTCGAACCCTGTTCTATTGGCTTCGGTTTGGACAGTCGGGTAGTATTACTAAGTATCCTTCATCCATAGAATACTTGACGTATGATAAGTTTTCATTAGTTTTGTATGAATGTTAATTTTCAGTACATTTCCTGGTTAATTAGTTATTTAATAAATTTATTATTTCTTCACTCCCTCAATTGGTAAATATCTGTATGTACTAGACTACAGTCCATAATTAGTGTGTGTATGTGTGTGAAAACATTCATCGACTTGGAAAATCGAGAGAGAGAAGCGATACACTTAGCTTATCGATTTGAACTTCTCTCTAATTTTTATATCAGTGTTTAATATCAAAAGAAATAAATCAGACAAATTTTGTTTTAGAAATAGTATCTGTTCATTAAGGTGTGTATACAGAAACACCATGCTCTAAAGCCTAAATATACATCTATAACTTTTATACTAGAAGTATGACTCCCCATAGTCTTGTGTATACAAACTACCTGGATATTTAGTTATGTTATTCATGTATATATTTAACTTTCCGATTATAAGTCTATTCATTCTTCAATCTCTTGAATTGCGTCTTTTATTTTGAATGTGATGATATCGTACTTTATTCCCTTCATTCTTTTCGAATTATATCCTCTGTTTAGTTTCAGTTTTTTTTACTATTGTTAGTATTATCATAGAGTAGCACGAAGACTTGTGAAAACGGTCATATTTGTACCAGATGCTAGTTCATTTGCATGAAACAATAATGAATGGTGGTAATTACATGTAGAATAATATACTTCTGACTTTCAACTTCTTTTAAAACAGTTGTTTATAACTTCATTTGACTGTTATCCATAGATCGTTGCATTAATAAAAGAGGTCATCAGTAGCTGCACCGTATTTTGTAACATAATTCTGAAATTCATTTTAGCACAACACAATTCTTACAACTAATCAAATCATATATTGGCATTCTGTATTAAGTCAGATGGATAAGAGGTTGCTGAAGTGTGATAGGTTTATGTGTTCTGTTTTTTAACGGTTATATCATTATTTAGAAATACTCCTTTTTAATCAATTCATGTGATAATTGTACTTTCTCACATCAAATCACATTATTGATTGTTTATTTCTATTTTTTGTTTTTCATTTTTCTTCTTTGTCGGTGTGTTTGTATATATAGATGTTTTCTCGTTAAATTGTGCTCCAAGAAAATAGTATCAAACTATAAAGTAGTAATTATGAATCAAAACAACTCTGGAGAATCACAACCACCGCCGCATAAACTATGCTGCTGACTGTGGAACAGAATTGTGTTTATTATTATTCGAAAAACTTTTTATTGATCTATTATTATTATTATTATTATTATTATTATTATTATTATTTCCAATTACGACAATAGACACCGTCATTACTAACGAACTAATCACATACATGTCCATAATTATGATTATTTCATTCTCTGATTTTTTCTTATCAACAAAAAATAATTTACACGGTCAAAAAAAGATACTAATTACCGTCTTGCCGAGACATGGATACCCAAACATTGCCTTGACTCATATCGTTCTTCTAATTTAATGTCCAAGTTAATAGTAGAAAAAAAAAACTGTATTTTTGAAAGAACCTGAAAAGTTCTTTTTTTTTGCTATTGATTTTGACATCAGTTTACAGATACCTACCATCTTACAAACCTTGTATTTTAAATTGATATCTATGCATGTTAATGCGTTTATGTATATGGTGTGTATGTGTGGTTGGGTATCTTACTTTTAAAGCAGTCAATATATACTGAACAAAACAATAAGTCTAACAATTCTTCCTAGCATTGTTTTACATTTCATCCTGAATATTGAATTCCTTTTTAACTATTATTATTATTATTATTCCCATTTAAAAAAAAAGTATGATGAATTCTTTTTATAATATCTATCACATATAGATTGTAGAGAGACACATTGCTTGATCTAGATATTCTATACACACAATTGTTTTTTTTATTACCCCCAGTTACTTATTTGTATTCTAGCTTGTAAATACTTATACATTGTGTATATGTTATTCACCTGTTTAAGTAAAACTACACTTTCTTTTGAATTAGTAGTATTTTGTTGACAATATAAACCGTTCCTTCTTTTATTTTGTATTGTACACAAGTTATTATATATGTATGCTAATTAGCTTCATTTTATTCAATACCTGAGAGAAACTATGCCATATACAACTTACTTTACAAATATTTATGATAAACATGATTTGATATTTATCTAATAAGTCGGGTCGCTGCATGCTTTACACACTATGGATCACGGACAATAAAACAAATTGTATTTTCTTCTTTGATGTAGTCCATATTGGAATTGTGCTCCTGTTTTTTTCCCTGTGCTCCTACTCACCCCTACTGGAAAGCTCCCTAAGCTAGGGAAAAAGATAAGCACGATGACAAAAGTATATGTGTGTGTGCTTTATTCTATGTGAGATCCATAGTCATCCTTTTTTAAAAATTATTTCCCCTCATTCTTGTTTTTATAGTCGATTATTATTATTCAATTAGCTTTTTGCCTGCCTACCTACCTGTTTATCTAGATGTTTTTGTCTGTTTTGCGTCATGCTGCGCACACGACACCATATAACATCTGTTTTTTGCTTAGATATATGCATTTCCTTACGTATACATATATGTTGTCTCCATTCTCATTATGCCATGGCAGATAAGAAGGTAGACATAATATGTATTCTGCTTTTATTCAGGTGATAATAATAACAATAATAGTGGTAATTAGTTGTTACTATCTTGAGACAAACACTTGTTACTGTTGTTGCTACTTCATTGTCTTTCTCCAAATGTGTATCTTTATACTTGTGTGAATAAATCTCTACCCATTTAACCTTTACAATTTGTTTCCAATTATGTATGTTTAAGCCTGTGAAAAGATGAACAAATAGACAAAATGTCCACTTTACTTTCTCCATCCCCCTACCCTATTCCAATAGCCAGTTATCATAATTTGTGTATGTATTTGCATATACTTCTATTCTCAATTGCCTCTCTTTTCTCTCTCTTGATCGTATTAGTAGGTAGTACAGTTTTTATTTTTTAAAAATTGTTAATAAATTTTAAAAAAAAACAAATAGAAATCTCAACATTCTGTTTTGTTTACTTTTTCTTGCCGAAAATAAGTACATGTAAGTGACTTCATTTCAAGAAAACTAATTGCTGTGTTATGATGAATAGTATGCATAAGTCTATGGTGTAAATCATGTATCTTCTAAAATGAACTGGTTTGAATTTACCACTGTTGCTACTACAGTATTAATAATATCCTGCTCAATAATCAGAGGAGTACATTTATAACTTTTTATCGGCTTTATAAACAATGAATTAATATATGGTGGACGGTGGCGTAATTCCGTAGATTGGTTGAAATTAGACATTAACACCGTTGGATGCCGGTCGGCTCAGTGGTCTAGAGTTTAAGCGTTCGTGTGTGAAACCGAAGGTCCTGGGTTTGAATCTCACCAGCCGAATCGTGGATACGCACTGGTGAGGAGTCTAATGCCTCCAGGTTTTCAATGGTGGTCTAGCTTTAATTGACTCATGAATTCAACTATTAAATTAATATACACTTGTCATAAAAATATACTGATAAAGTTTCATATTTTCATTTATCTGGATTTATATCACAATAGATCCGGAAAACAGTATTTAATGAGTTAAAAACTTCGTTGAACTCATTCTTCAAATCATTAATCGTGTAGTTAACATAAAATCGAGATGAAACATTTTTATTGTTTGATTCTTAGTTATTTTCTGACTAATCTTAACCTATTTTAATTATAAAAAAAGATTATGGGATGGAACAAATCTATGAATGACGCTTTTAAACAAAAATCACCTATTCGACGGCTAACTATAATATGAAGTCCTAGCAAATACGTGTAGGGTTCACTTATGTGATAAATTCAACTTTTGTCTTATTTGACTGTCGCAGGGTGTCAAGAATTCGAATCGTGCATTATCATTCAGCGAATTAGACAGTTACCGCTCATCTCGGACTGTAATTCATTTCAGAGGCATTTTTACCCTATGGACTGATTACCATCAGTAGGTTCCCACCACAAATTATCGGGCCGGAAGTATAACCTTTAATTACTTACTTCTTGTTGAAAACAAGCTATGCTGCCCCAGTTTAATCGTACAATCAGTCATAAGTTAATCCAGTGTTCAGGTGAGCTCAGGGTCCATGGCCCAACTTAAAATATACAAAGTCCTACTAACCATATACATTGGTTTCTGGTTATATACATGTATTGTCAGCTGATGAGCATGAAAAAATGGTAACAAAATGTCATGTTAATCACATTGAACAAACTATTCGTCTGCACACATACTTGAAACGTAAAGTATAAATGATCTTATGATTTAAGCTAAATACTCTTAATCTTATCATTCACACAATATGCTTAGTTCGTAATTGTGTGAAACTTAACAAATCAAATTATCTAGAAAGTGTTCAATATTACCTTCTTCGTCAAATGAATCATTCAGAAAGTATACAAACATCTTAATAAAAACATCCATTTCTCTTCTGCAAGTTTCTAATCATTGCATTTGTCCATAAAGGTAAACAAAAACAATGATTCTTATACGTTTTAGTACATAAAAATCTTCATGTTTTCCATTAGTTACAACAAACAATAAAATAATATTGTACATCCTTTTAGACGAAGTGATCATGTGTATAGGAGGTATTTAACTAACAACTAACTTACAGTATTTTCCGTATGGTCATATTGGTAAGCTCTTAATTCAATAATTATAATGGTGTCTGCGACAGTGAATTAACTATAAATGTTTTAGATAAGTTTGCTTTGTGAAGTTTAGATTAATTAGAAAGTATTATATTAATTGAAAAGCAAGGATCACTGTTCTGTTTCTAATTCGTTTGAGACTCCTAGAAGTGTTTACATACCACCTCACTCGAGAGATTAAATTCCTGTCTGACAGTGAAGGTATTGATCGATTGATCACTAGGCCAAAATGTTTATATTCAGTTGATTTATTCTGCGATCTTACTGTCATTTGACGTCAATTGCAGGCATCATTAGGTTGTCGCTTGGTTTTCATTAATCTGTTTGATTAAACCTGTAAATCATTAATAAATATTGTACTAACAGAATTTGAAGCATTTAGATCAATTCGCGGAGTGAACGCCGTATAGCTCTTCCTTTTTTTATGTACAGAATATAACATTAAATGAATCATAGTTGACGTGAAAAATTGTTTGTTTAACTTGACACCCTTTGTTTCTCGATATACTACGTTCGACAATATAAGTTTATTGAAGTAAAAAGTGGTAATAATGTCTTTGAATTAAATAAAACTATTCTACATAGGCTGAGTTGCCTTCATATTAATATATATTACGCCCATAAACACTTGGTAAAGACATTTTTTGTTATATATGTAATGCTTGAGAAGTTATGATATGCATGCTTAACATAAAATTAAGTTTAAGCAAAGGTCGAATAAATCACCTGGACATGTATTGAAAATAAGTATTCAACAAACTATTGTTGACATCCAACGGTTGTAAAGCTTAATCAACAACAGTCCTAATCTAAATAATATAAATTAATATTAAAAGCTATGTTTAAATATTTCTGTTTTTTTGATCCCGTTTCTCTTGCTTTAAGTTTTAAACGTTACACTAGGACAGGTCTTTCTCAACGTCTAGATTGATCATAGGGAGATAAGCAGTTAAAATTGCTAACCACTTCATTTGTCTTGAGATTTCAATCAGCCTTGTTAGTCAGATGTCTAAAAAAAAAGTACCACAAATACAGGAAGTTTGCTCAGGTTTGGATAACCTACATCACATTTGGCATAGATCAATTATGAAGCAGATTTCATAGCAGCTATGTTCCAGATATTTTAGAACATCTGGTCGAACTCTTATCGATTTCACGCTTTCTGTACCTTTCTACTGATTGATTAGGAATATTTTCTTCATTTCTCTGAATGTTACGTAGTTCATTTAATATGATTTATAGAGATATTTATGAGGCTATTTGGATTTTTCCTAAAAAAACATTGCATATTGTTCGACAAATACACATCCAACTTACTGCGCGCTAAAGCCTCTGTCTTGTCAACATTCACTAGCCTGATTC